TGCCTCAGAGCTACTCCATAGCCATTTATGAGTTAACCTCAGAAATCACTGAGACATTCTAGCCTTTTCTTTTGAAGTAGTTTAAGTCTGCTGTCTTAGTTAGGGTTCCTATTGCTACAATGAATCCCTAATGACTCAAAAGTCAGTAGAGGATGAGAGAGCTATTTGGCTTAAGATTCAGCACTACTGTTCATCATCAAAGAGGTCAGGGCAGGAACTCAAACAGGGCAGGAACCTAGAAGCAGGAGCTGACACAGAAGCCATGGAGGGGTTCTCTTACTGGATTGTTCCCCATGACTTGCTTAGCCTGCTTTCTTATAGAACCCAGGCTCAGTGATGGCCCCACATAAGAAAATGCCTTACAGCCAGCCAGATCATGAGGAGACATTTCCTTAATTGAGGTTCCTTTTTTTTTTTCCATATAACTCTAGCTTGTGGCAAGTTGACATAAAACTAGCCACTACTCCAGCCCAAGTTCAAAAAGAAGATACATAAGAACAGCTCCAAGAAGTAAAAGTATTGAGCAAACCCTCAGACACAAATGTGGGTTTCCCCAATTCAGGAATGTGCTATTGTCCATAAAATTGCTAACCTGTAGTCTGAGCACTTATGAGGAGCCCCAGTGCAGTGAAGGGACACTTCAAGGGATCCAGGAAACAGTGTAGATCCAGCATTTTCTATATACTGAAAAAAAAATGCATGCCTAACACACTTCTAACTTTTAAATAGAAATTCTGTCTTTGTAACTAATAAGATGTAAACTTATTTGAAACCTCTGCTGCAGCTAGGTGTTGAATTTTCATATTCTATATCTTGTATAGTTTCTTAATCATAGGTACAGAAAAATATAACAAACACTTGGGAGCAGTATTTTTTTTTTCTTAACAGGAATGCCATAAATTAGAAGTCACTTTCATACATCCAACTCCATACGGAAAAGCTTGCTGGAATGCAGCCTCTCTCTGCCAGATCCACAGGCCTTTAAAAGAGCTCAGCACTCAGACCCTGTGCAGAAACTGTAGCCACACTCGGGACTATGCCTCCCTTACCACCACTCTACACTGCATGCCTAGCCTCGCCACATCTACAGCCATAACTAATTAGAACAGGGGTAGCCAGCTGGCCCAATCAATCTCTGGCTGGCCCTGACCCCCGAAGTGGCTTGGCACAAAGAGTTGTCAGTTATGGACAAACTGGGCCTCTTGGGCTTCCATTGAGCATCTGTTTTGGTTTGGCTTTAACCACTGATGATAACGGGGCACATTTATAGCGCACACTGTGATGTTTTAATACATGCACTGTGCAATTATTAAATCAAGATGATTAGTACTTCAACCACTTCTCATTTCTTTGTGGTGAGGATGTTTAAAAAAAAATCCTCTCTTCTCATTATTTTCAAGTACTTAACATGATACAGTTAATTATAGTCACCAACATCATAGCTGAGACACTAGAAATGACCTTCACCATCTAATGGCAACATTGTACCTGATGACCACTCTTTTTCTCAGGCATTTGAACTCAGATGAAGACACACACACTATAGGAGACAGCTGCCCAGGAGAACTAAGACAGACACCAGGAAATCAAGACAAAGTAGAAGCTGAGATAGAGAAAAGATGACAGGAGGGGGAGCCAAACAAAAAGAAAGCCTGAATCTGAAAACGGCACAGTGGTGTCAACATCGGCAGCCCCAGGGTGTGGAAGGAATGCTTGCACACCCATGGAAATGCTTGGGCCATATCTGGACCTGCAGATCAAATCTCCGGGTATTTAGGTGTTGAAAAGCTACAAAATGATGGGTGGGTGGGTAGAAAAAAGAAATGAAAAGCTACAAAAGTCCTTCTCATACCCTCTGGTAAGGAGTCCTCCTCTCCAGCTGCTCCACATGGCCCTTATGGATTTCATGACATTTACTGTATTCTTAAATGCCTTGTGTCCACCCCAAGAGTTATCCCTTTTGTATAGCTAAATAGATTTCCATTCCATCTAAATAAAAATGTCAAAAACAAAATAAACAAACACCAAAAAAAAAAAGTCAAGTAATTCAAAGGGAAATACTTTTTAAATTTTTGTTGTTGTTGTTGAGGCTGAGTCATCCTCCAAAAAAGCAGGTTTGTTTCTGGTTTCTCCCCCATCAAAGCCTCCTGAAGAGATGGCTTTCTTTGAAGAATTATTTATAACTTTTTTTAAGGAACAGGAAACCCCAAGATTTGACACATTTCTCTTGGTTTTTTTATACACAGAGGACCAAGATGAACCCAGTAAGCCAGGCCACACAGGAAAGCCACTCACTTCAGTGTCATCACAATGCTTTTACAATTTGTCTGTCAACTCTGGGGCTCTCCCCACTGTATTGTTGGAGCCATGGGCATCCATGGGAAACCTGGATGTTAGTGGCTCAATTAAACCCCTCAAATCAACATTTATTTTAGCTTATTTTAAAATTGTGACTCCAGGATACCAAGGTGTGGTTGGATCTTCTATGATGGATACAAAAGGAAATTTGTATATGCAAAAGTCATATTCATCCTTAGTCACTGTTCATTTAACAGCCATTCACCATAATGGCAACCAGCTATAATTAGATTGCCATATAATTTCAGTACATGCTGTTGTAGAACTTGAAAAAGTTACTGCATAATTAGCAGTGCCTATCAAGTTGTTTTTTACAGTTCTTTATAATCCACTGTTAGGACATAAACTTGGATTTGTCATATCTTAAGAATTCAAAATAATGTTCCAGGCATCCTTTGAGGTAGAAATCTTGAGACTGACTCTTTTTTCCTCAGGGTTATTTGATGTCTATGCCTTCCTATGGAATGACAACACCATACCTAAAATCCTTTTGTGTTGGTTATTTTTCCCAACTTATCACCAACTGGAGTTATATGAGAAGAGGGGACCTCCATTGAAATCCCATCACACCCATCAGATTGCCCAAGTGGCCTGTAGGCTCATCTATGGGGCATTTTCTTGATTAGAGATTGATGTGGGAAGGCCTCGCCCACTGTGGATGGTGCCATCTCTGGGTTATATAGCAAAGCAAGTTGATCATGTTACTAACACAATAAACTGGAACCCGGTTTGTGCTCAGAAGAGAATTTCACTGTAAATATGACTAAAAATAAATGCAATAATTATGAATGATCCAACTAAGCTCCATATGTAAAGTTGTTAAAAGAAATGACCACCTGGAATCTAAAGGGAAACACAGAAAACTGCATTGTGGGTATCAGTGTGGATAAGAATGCTAGTCAGCCAACTTTCTTAAAACAGTAACCATGACAAGTCTGAGTAGCAGTCCTGCCACAGCAGTAAACCACTTTACAGTTTAATTTTTCCTAAAAGTAGGGCCGGGCATTGGCGGTGCATGCCTTTAATCCCAGCACTTGGGAGGCAGAGGCAGGTAGATCTTTGTGAGTTCAAGGCCAGCCTGGTCTACAGAGTGAGTTCTAAGACAGCCAAGGGTACACAAAGAGACCCTGTCTTGAAAAAACAAACACACAATGTTTAGAAGACATTTCTCCATTGCCTTCTGCTAATCATACCTCCCATAGGACTTTTGTGTAATCCTTCTTTGCTGGTCCAGCTCCCTCCTCACCCATCATGAACCCACTCAGACCAGGACACCCTCTGTCACCATCACATCACAAAGACATCACATTCACCAAGTCCCACGTTCCAACTTTCATATCCTTTTGAGGCAGAGTCATCCTATATACCCCAAGTTGGTCTCGAGTTTCCAGTCCTCCAAGCTCAACTCTCTGGCTTCTGAGTTTCCGAGGAGAAAATTCCTATTCTATGCTCAATCACCTCCCAGTAACATGTCCTTCCCGGACAGCCTCATGGCTTCCCTAAGTTCTACCTTGTTAATACATGCCCTGCCTTTGCTACAGTCATCAACCTTATTTGTCCCATCCTCCCCCTAAATAACCAGTTCCTATCACTTCTCAATGTACAGCCTGCCTCCTCTAGGATGTGCACTCTGGACACTGTGGCGTTCTCTGATTTTATCCTGCCTGATGGTCCCCATCATCTTCAGCTGTGTACTGTGGCTGCAACATGCAATCACAGACAGCCTCCTGTTGTTTAAATCAAACTGAAAGGCAAACGGTTATTTTTTGCTTTGTCCCCTGACTTGGGGCTAAGTTTTCATCTACATCAAACAATATTTCCTTTTTATTAATTTTGTGGTTTGTAAGATTTTTTTTCTAAATTAAGGTCTTTTGTTTGTTTTTTGAGAAGGGGTTTCCTTGTGAAGCCTTGGCTGTCCTGGAACTGGATCTGTAGACCTGGCTGGCCTTGACCTCACATATCCACCTGCCTCTGCCTCCCAAGTACTGGGATTAAAGGTGTGTGCCACCACCTGATTTTTTTTTTTTTTTTAATTGTTAAGGGCTACACTGGCTTGTTTGTTCTGAGACTCCCCTAGACTATTTTTGTAAAGATTATTTATTTGGAGGGGAAGGGAGCCACTGAAGTTTCTATTCATTTTGCTCATGTTTAACTAAGGCTTTGATGGGTTTTCTTAAACAACAGAAGCTAAACCAAGGAATAAGAAAACAAACAAATGAACAAACAAATACAAATAAAAAACAATAAAGAAATACAGAAAACCAAAACAGGTTAAGAACGGCCAACTACATCCCCCAGTCTTTGAAGCTAAACCTTCTGGTCACTCCTTCAACTCTCAGCTAGACTTGCTGAGATCCTAAAGGTCAGCCTATAGTTGCTTTAGGTTTGGGATTAATCCAAGTTGAATGCTGCAGGCTTTCTCAAGTCTTTTCTGGGTGTATGTCTTGCCTGGGCATGTGTGTTGCTTTTCAAACTCCTTTGCAAACACACTTCCTTTGAATGTCCTACTTGCTAAAATAATTTTTCTCCAACCTCTATAGTCCTAATTAAGGTCATTTTTACTAGTGACCTAATTTTGATACAAAAACTCAACTTTAAGAGGTACATTCACACTTAAATGACAAAAGACAGCTATCAGGCAATTTAAAGGCAGTTACATGTTTTTATTACATTAACACAACATTCCCCATGGCAGCTGATCTTCAGTTTGCTCCTTACTTTGACAGAATGTCAAGTGCCTGTAGAAATTCTCTAAAAATGATTTAAGAAAACAAAAACTCCTCTCACACCTCCAAAAATGTTTCCCAATCACATTCCTAAGAAAAATAATAGGTTTTGTTTATTTTACAGTGTAATGTTTTCTTTCAAGGTATAAAAACAGGACTTCTTAATGAGTCCCCTTTGTTTACAAAGTTCTATACAAAATACATAAGGAAGCATATGTTTGTCTTTTGATTTAATTTTTCCAGTTTACCAGAGACACCACAATATGTAAACCACATTAATCTTGTAGCAATACAATGTCCACATCATCGTGGACACCCTGCAACAGTAGTTCTCCTGTGTATGTTACAATCTTCCTTCGCTTTGCAGCTTTCAGAGTTCCTACCAATGCTTCAAAGAGGTTGGCACATCTGTCGTCTTGGAAGAGGACCCCAAACTTCACGCTTAGCTTTCCATCAGCATCTAATTGCAGAAACACAGCATTAGTAAATGTATCTTGCCTCCATGGATGGCAAACTTGAACCACCTTGGGGAAACATCTCATGAGGGGGGTGGAAACCAAGATTAAAATGTAACACTAAGCCTCTTTCTCTACTCAAACATTTGTTCCAGGACAGCCAAGGCTGTTACACAGAGAAACCCTGTCTCAAAAAAAAAACAAAACAAAACAAAACAAAAAACAAAAAAACAAAAACAAAAACAAACAAACAAAAAACAACAACAAAAAGGTACATTCTACTTTAGAGACTTGAAATGCAGAGTCTAAATTTTTATTAAAACATTAATAAGGAAACAAAGATGCAGAAACATGAGATAAAGTGCACAAGATCACCCAGCAAATATAAGAGGAACAGGCTTCATTCCCAGAGAATCTGACAGGAGTCCATATTCCAGTTTGACCTTCTTTTAAAAAATTTTTAGACAAGGTCTCAGTAGTCCAGGGTGGTCTTGACCTACTAACAGCTGGGATTACAGGCAAATATCATCACAACTAGCTTAGCCTCCTAACCTCTTCCCAGTACATTTCCAGTCTGTCCATCTTGCATCTTAAGAAGACCTTAAGGACGGAAATAGAATTTCTTTTTCAATTCTATATTCGCTATACTTGAGCCCAAAGTAGGTGTTCCAGATTCTTGTTGGATGAAAGGATATAGATCTCCAGGTAACCACAGTTTCCACTTCATCTTCTCTAACTGGATGAAAAGTTTAAAGACTCGGACTTTCAAAGAAATAAAAAAAAAAAATGCCTTTATCAATTTCTAGTCAGAGCTTGTGTATCATATGTAGGTTAGTCAAAATCACTCCAAACTCAGCTAAATAACCATAACGTGTCAGAAGATGACATAGTGCCATCTATGCTCTCCAACTCAATCAGTCATCTTTTGCCAACAATAAAGTCAAGGTGTTCCGGTAAAGCTGTGAATTTTAAGTATTTTCATGCATATGGATGTTATGATAATTACCTTGTCTTCTAATTTGTAAATCTGCTCATTTTGAAGTGGAGCTTTGGGCTGCCTGAGCAGAACACTGACACTCTCTTTAGGAGTGCAAAGGCTAGAATTTTAAAGCCAGCTGAACCTAACCAATGAGCACCAGGTTGACATGAATAAGAGCAGTCAACAAATTTTTGGAAATGTGCTCTTAACAATCTAAAGAGCATACTAATTCTAAGTAATGTGACCCTTCTGGAGCTGGAGAGGCCTGGAAGATGTGGTAGAGGGACAAAAGTAGGGGTGGCCCCAGTGAAAATGAGACCTCCCCAGACTGGCACCATGTGAGTATAGTGAGGGGGTGTGAGAAAAGTGGAGAGAGACCTCATTTGACTGGGAACCCAAATATTAACAAATTACACCCCCTGGTGTCTTCTCAGTGTTCTACATAGGCATTAATTCATTCCCATTCCAAGTTCACCTCACGTGTCCCCTCCTCAACTAACCTGCCTATACACCTCTACACATCCAAGTCCCGCCTATTCAAGGCTTAACCAAGTGCTCCCAACTCTACAGTTACCAATAATCTATTGCACTGGAACAATAATCAATGCCCACACTCCACAGTCTAGCAAGTCACTTTTTTCTGATAATTACCTTATCAATTTTAGCTGTTTTCATCACTTAAGTAATAACATGCTTGAAGAAAAGGAACATGCCTATGTCACTTGTACTTATACAGGGCTTGGCACATATGGGAGAGCAATATCAGTCAGTGACAAGATGTCACATGTGGCTGTGACCTCCACAACACTTCCCTATGTCTCTATCTTGACATTTCAGTTATAATGTCAAAGTAAAATGACTAGAAAAGACTCAAGGATAGGAATCTGGGAGTGCTCAGTGGTGGAGTACCTACTTAGCATGTCTGAGAGCATGAACTCTATCTGCAGGGCAGGGAGATAATGCCACCCAAAGGTAACCCATATTCTCATCTGCACAACTTGTGAATACCTTGCCTTACTAGGCAGAAGGGATGTTTTTCAAATGTGGTTTAATAAAGGTTCTAAAATGGGGCACTCTTCTTGATTATCTGAGTCCAATTAGTGGAATCCTAAGAGTTCTTGAGAATGGGAGGGTGAGGCAGGGCAGTACAGTGTGATGACACCCAATACCAGCAACAGTGTGGGGAGAGGAAGAGCCAGAGCCAAGGGATGCAGAAGCTCCAGAAGCTAGTGAAAGTAAGAAATTACATACAGTCTCCTCAAAACCCTCCAGAGGGACTGGAGCCAGCCAGCACCTGGATCTGAGCCTGGAAAGATCCTCATGGGATGCCTGAACTACACAAAATAGGAAGTATGTCCCGGTGTTAAACATCCTGTTTTACCATTGCTAAGTCTGTGGTTAAGTGGCTACAGCAAGAACAGAAAACAAGTGCAGGGGCCTGGGGAGATAGCTGTGCAAGCACGGGGACTTGAATTCAATTACCAGAACCAACGTTAGAAGTGGGGAGGGGTGTACACTTAGGAGACAAAGACAGAAGGATTCTAGGGCTCACCGGCCAGCCACCTTAGGCTGTTTGGTGAGCCCCATGTCCCATTGAGAGACCTTGTCTCAAAAAACAACTCAAGGGGAATCCAAGGAATGACACCCACGATTAACCTTTGGTTTCTACATGCATGTACACACAAATGAGGAAGACAACTAAGATGAGAGACAGTAGGAATTAACAGATAAGTGGAATTTTTTTTTAAAGTGTGTCTATTCTACCTTATTAAAGGATTTGTAACTTATAAGCAAACAGGTCTAAGAAAAATCAAGCTATAATGACATGGTTTTTCTTGTGAGACAGTTTCACTGTAAACGCCAGGATAGTATTCAACTTGTGATCCTCCTGCCTCCGCTGAAATTACAAGGGTGCAATGTTTGCTTATGAGATACTCTGCAACGTTTTCATTTATATGATGTTTAATACTTTGAATTTCATTATTCTAGTTGATGCTGAATATGTTCAATGTTCATATATCCAATATGCTTCCCAATCTTTGCACATCTCAGATGTAGCAAATACCTCATGCTACAAGTACAATCATTTCAATACAACTTAGGAGAAACACCAGTATACCAGTTTTATACATTGTTGTCTCCCCAATAGCTGCTTGGCCACTGAAGACAAAGTCACAAAAAAAAAAAAAAAAAAGGATCTAAAAGTTTGGTTTATTTTACTATCATGTTTGGAATTGTACAAATCCCAACAACTTACAGAAAATAAAGACAATTGTGATGGCTATTCTTGTCAACTTATCTACATTTAGAATTAACCGAAATAAAGCTAGTGGCTAGGACCTGTAGGAGATTTTTTTTTTTTTTTAAATCATTTGAAGTGCAAAGACCCACTTTTAATCCAGATCTTTTGAGGTGGGAAGATCCAGCTTTGATCTGGGCCACACCTTCTGGTGACAGCTAATACCAATATAAAGGGCATGGAAGAGGGACACTTGCTATCTTTGCCTGCTTTCTCTCACTGGCAAGTCCACTCCTTCCCCGGCATCAGAGCATACTTCTTCAGGACTCTGGAGTATAGTGAAGACCAGCGGAGACACCCAGCATCGTGGACTTAATATCTACTGGATTCTTGGATCTTCCATTAGTAGACAGCCATTGTTGGACTAGCTAGACCACTACCTGTAAGCCATTCTAATAATCCACTTTCTAAACTTACATAGGTTCATTCTATACATTTTCTTCCTCCAGAAAGGCCTGACTAATAGAACAATTTAGTGTAATTGCATTCTAAATCTATAGTGACTTGCAAATTTACAAAATGGTAGCAAACATAAAGCAGAAAAGAATTTTAACAGCAAAAAAAAAAAAAAAATCACTATTCAGTACTGTATTAAATCAGACTTTAATACAAAGGAAGCTCAGTGAGTTTTTTCAATTCAAAATTAAATAATTAAAACATCTCAACTATTGTCTGCCTCAGAAACCAGACACCCCAATAGTTCTGTGTCTCAAATACCTCTTGAAGGCTAAGAACATTACCACCTCCAGCAGTAGGCAGTGTGTCACTGAGCAGCTTCTCCAGAATGCCTGTCTTGGGGTATACTCAGAAGAAACACTCTGTGTTAGAATACTTACTTTTAGAACCCAGACGATGAATTTCCTCCACTAGGAGGTTAACCTCATGATCCACATTCATTGCTGACTGAAAAAGAAAAGAAGTCTACGTTACAGCCATTTCTATACTTCCTCGTGTACACAGCAATCCAAAGGCCCTTTCTCTTTTGCGGTACATTTGTCACTATTATTGACCACACCCCTTTTCTACTTGTATGAAGTACAGTGCACTAATATAGCTCCACATCTCCTCTACCTACATAACTTCCCTCTCCTGTGACCTGCTGACTAGCAGGGGGAAGATGGCCTCTCTGCTCACAACAGTATTACTCCATGCGCATCTTGTCACAGAATCCTGCTAAACACCAGAATTGCAGAAGGTAACAAGATCCATGTTCAAGGCAGAGAAAGGCCTCTGATGAACAGCAATATGGCAAGCATTCTCTGGGTGCTGGGTCCAAGGCATTACAGGCAGGCCCCTCCTTAGAGATGACAGGGAAGGTAGATCAAATGGACAAATGGTGGGAAAATGGAAATTTACCTCCATACAAAGGTAGAAGTAAATGGAAAATTGTGGAGACAAAGGAGAAAGCACATGGCACAGCTGAGGCAGACCCTGAACTAGGAGATGGAGATGCCAAGATAATTACATGTTCCCTGCTCTTCAGGAGTCCAGAGTCTAGAAGCGATACAGGTTCATACTAAACCAAGGCCACCTGAATACCCTCAGGGCAGTGCAGTGATAACTTCCAGTTCACATACAGGAGCATAACACCCTTCTCTTGGTTCTGCCCATGGAAACTGACTGCACTGCACAGCTCGTAGTGAAGCACATTCATTTCCCATCACAAAGAGTTCAGACTAACAAGAGATGAAGCTGCTAAGGCATGCTAAATCCCATGTGGCTTGCTAAGTCTTTTACAGGCTGGATTCTGACCTGGGTTCCAGCCTCCTCCACTGTACACTTGAGTGCTAAACTGCAGCTACAGGAGTCTTTCTATTCCTCAAATATCCCTGGCCATACCACCAGCCCTCTCTGCATGTTTGCTTCTGCTCAGGCTATTGCCATTCCCTTCCTAAGGCTCATGAGTCAGGCTCAGCTTGCATGGAACAACATCCTCCACAAAGCATTCCCCAATCTGAGGGTGCTCCCCTACTGGGTGTTCCCACTGTACTATATGCCTCTTTTATTTCAATTGGGTAGAATTACTGGTTTCTGGGTTTTCCTTCCTAGAAGATAAATTCCTCTCCACAGGGATCTGACTTAAATATTCCTTGTTAGCATGCCTGGCACCAAGAGGAGAGGTTAAACAAACACTGTTTCATGAACTAACAAGAATAAGAGGAGGGATGAGGGGATAGAACTCCACTGGCAGAGACCAGCAAGTATGAGTGACTAGGCAGGATGGCATTGATTCAATCTGCTTTCACAAGAGAAATTCTCCAGGCTAAATAAGGAGCTAAAAGGTGGAAATGCGTTACTGTTTTCATTAAGGTATGACTTGAAACAACTTCATCCAGATGGGTTATTATTAATTCCCGGTGGCGTTTACAATAAGAGTGACATCTACAACTGGATACCACCTGCTTCAAAGATCCTGATTGGGACACCAGATTTTCTATCAGCTAATAATTAAAAGTGCCACTACCATCTGCCATTATTTGCATGAACATTGTAATTGAAGGGGCTGACACTGCAATAAAATGCAAAATATTCGATTAAATGCAACTCTTTAAAACTTACTATTAATAATTATACTGTCCCAGCCTGGTGTGATGTTGCATGCCTTTAATACCAGGCAGAGGCACACGGATGTCTATGAGTTTGAGACAAGCCCGGTCTACAGAGTGAGTTCCAGGACAACCAGAGCTACACAGAGGGACCCTGTCTCAAAAACCTAAAAGAAAAAAAAAATTCTGGTCAACTCTATTGGGGACTTTGGTGTTGGTGAAAGCATAATTATGTAATTCAAGGCATAGTTTAAAAGTGATAGTAAGAACCTAAAATATCCCGAGAGGATATAGGATAATGGCAGAAGTAAACCTGTCTGTGTCTGTGGCTATTTTGTGGGGCCAGTACCATCTTCCCACTCTGGAACCAGCATCTAAGTGTTGTCCGAGGACAGCATTTCCCTTTCCACTCTAAAGCTATGTGTACAGACAGAGCATTACCCTCAGCTCCAGAAGTGACTCAGAGTCTGTGGGATTGGCTAGAGGCACCAGGTTCCTCATCTGAGTCAATTCATACAGTTCTTTTACTTTTAAGCTAGTGTGTGTGTGTGTGTGTGTGTGTGTGTGTGTGTGTGTGTGTGTATTTATTTATTTATTTATTTATTTGGGGGGGGGGAGTGTATGTATGTGGAGGTCCGAGGACAGATACTCTCATTCAAAACAGTCAAGCTCAACCCCAAGATTTTGCTATACTATTAGTAAATGACACCCTTTCCACTGATTCTAAGATGTGAGTTTACAAGCCCAGTATAAATGGTTACCCTATGGGAAGACCTGACTAAGAAATCCAACAGAAGGAAAATCTAAGCTTGAAAATGACTCAGCCTGTCCCTGATCCTGGATATTCTAGTTATATGAACCAATGACATTTTCCCTATTTATAAAGTGTAGTGCTTTGTATGAGTTTCTATTACTTGTATGCTGAAAAGTATTGGTCTGAAAAGTTAGCTTAATGAACTGATATTTTTTTTTTAAAGGAACCATACAGAAAACAACATCCCTGTAATATATTTAGATAGATACATAGTCTTGTTTGGCATTTTTCTGTTGGTTAGGATGAAGGGATGCTACAGAAAAGGAGATTTGGAAGCTGGAGAAATGGCTTTGCAAGCATGAGCTTCCTGAGTTTGAACCCCAGAACCTCCATAAAACTGTTGGGTGTGGTAGCACCTATGAATCTAATCCCAGATGTGGGGAGCTGGCCAGGAGCACCTTGCCACATGGCCAACCAGCCTAACTTAATGATGGGCTCCAGGCAAATGAGAGAACCTGTCTCAAAGGAGGTAGGGGGCTGGCATCCTTGAGGATGACACCTGAGGTTGTCCTTAGGCCTCCATGTGCAAGTGTGCGCGCGCGCATACACACACACACATACACACACGTGCACCTGAAAACACATTTTCAAAATGCACCTGCCATGCACAGGCATGCCCACACATGTATGCAGGGGTAGGGGGAGCAAGACAGGACAACATTTGGGAGCTATACAAAAATTCTCTCTACACAATTGCCCTGTTTCAGCAAGTAAGGGCTTGTGAGAATGAAAAAACAAACAAACAAACAAACAAAAGCCAACCTGGACTGACTGAAAGGAAAATAAAACCCTCAAGGTCAGAGACTTCTGAGTCCTGAGTCCCCTGCCTGTACATATGTCTCCATCTTTCTGACACCAGGGAGATACTTCAAATTTATATCTCATTTAACAATGAGAAACAAAGAGGAAGGCCATCTGCTATGTGCAGTATACATAACCACTTGAATTAAAATGGGCACTAATCCAGTTTTAAGGAAGGCAAAGGGCATTTCTTCATAATTAATTATACACCACACTCCTTCCCTGAGTTAATTCATATAATTCTTTTATTTATTTTTTATCTTTTTTGCATTTATTTTTGGGAAGTTGTGAATGTGGAGGTCAGAGACAACGAAAACGTGTGGGTTTCCCATGTGGATCCCAGGGATTAGACTCTGGTCATCTGGCTTGGCAGCAAGTGCCTTTATGCACTGATCCATTTGGCTACCCTAATTCATGGAATTCTAAGAACCCTACAGACACTTATTACTTACCCCATTTTATCGAGAATGAAACAAGCTCACAATGGTTAATGCCACAAAGCACTGTTCCTAACACATCACTTTTCCACGTCTTCCCCTTCTTTTGCTATTATGCAAATGAACCTAATGTAATAGTGTATTCTTATGTAATATCACATACTGAGTACTTATTAAGGCGGATCGTTTACAAAGCAAGAAAAGGCTCCCTGTCTGGACCCCTATGAACAGGAAAATAATAGGTTTACTACTGTTAGCATACACAACTTGGCATGTTTTAGTCATTTATTATGAGAGGGGACAAAGAAGAAAATGTTCACATTATACAATCTTTGGAAGACCCATGGCCGTCTAAAAGCAGGACAGAAACCTTCAACTGGAGTGAGATCAAGAACAATGAGAGGTCATAAGCAGAGCAAGGCTAAGAAAAAAAGCCTGTCTGGGAGAGGCTGGCCAGAAGGATGGCAGTGGCAGATGTGAGCCGGACTGTCTAACTGTCACAGACTCTAATTAGGCTGTCTGAGTGGGACTCACAAAGAGTAGGGCTGAGGCAAACGCCGGAAAGCTCCACCAATGCACATTTGGAGAGGTTTGTCAGGAGCGTCCTCTAGTTAGGTTTTAAAGCTCCAAAGGCAGAAGGTCAAGGAAATAAAGTCTACTAGAGTTGTCTCCCCTGGGAATCGGCAGACAACTTTACAGGCTTGCTGGGCTCTCTTCCAGCCTCACTTCTATCGCTAACAGCTGACTTGGGTCAAAGGCTGACTCGGAGCCTTTCTCCTTATTTGCTGGATCCAGCACACTCCATATTTGGTCATACCTCCTACAAGTTTGAGGTCTTGCCAAATTAGGGTCCCCAAATCCTGAGGCCTACGGGTACTACTTGCTCACCCCTTAACTGGTGGCACCGGGGTAAGAAGCCCAGGGCCACAGGAAGGGCTTAGTCTGGAGGCCTTTGTCTCCACAACTCATCCGCCCTTGGTCCTCAATGGCACTTCCCGGAGACCCCACGAGTCCCGCGTACCCTCACTCGCCGGCCCTCTGCATTGCAGAGAGCACTGTCCTGACGCCACTTTATTCCTCCGGGATCCCCTCTAGCCCTTCCCCACCCAGCTCTGCAGAACCGCATCTCGAACCGACGCCAAGTGCAAAACCCACACATTGCACCGCTGCAAACATCGGTTTGGGCTGCTCCTTTCCCGATCCGCCCCGCCCGGCAAAACGTCACATGAGCCCAGTGCGGAAGTGTGCCGGCCGAGTGGGGTGCCCACGAGTGGAGCACGAGAGGGGAGTCGGGGAGCATGCCCACGGCCCCTCCAGCAACACCTCAGCACCCCGGGGTCCCAGCCCTCCACCCGGGGCTCGGTCCCTGAGACTTTGGGTTCAGCCTCTCCTCCCCGGACTCGCTCACCTCTCCGACTGCTTCCTTCTTCGCGGAAGAACTGAAGCCGCGTGGGTCTGGACCGTGTTCTCTGCTTCCGCGCCCTGGGGAGGAACAAGCTGAAGAAGGAAGTGGCCCAGGCGAAGAGAAAGGCTGCAGTGGAAGAGGGGAGGGGACAAGGAGAGGCGTGGGGGGGGGGCAAGTAAGACTAAGTGCTCTCTGAAAGGGGCCGCCCACTCCTCCGGGACACGCCTAGGAGGAGGCACCCTGAGCAGATGCCAGAACTGGAGGCAGGCTTCTAGGAATGTGCACCCAAAGTTCAATCACCTCTCTCCATCTTACTCAGTCAGCACCCGCATGTGATACCGGACATTGATTTCCTGCCAGGATATCTTATCCACTGTGCTGAATATTGAGGTCTCCTAGGAAAAGCGTGACTCCATGGGTTCTGCGTGCCAGGAAAATGAGGATCAAGACCAAAAAAAAAAAAAAAAAAAAAAAGACTCAGTGTCCAATTTGCAAACGCTTGCATTTTCATTCTTCAAGGCCAGTTTGTTCTACTGAATTGGACAAACCTGGTTCTTGATTTTGGGTCAGAACAAATTAGCTTCTCTCCATTGTTTCCTCCATTTAGCTTCATAATTCATATTATTCGAATCCTTTTTATTTCCATCACGTGTGTGTAACATACTTGCCCTACCCAGAGTTTTCAGAAAAGAAAGACAACCCAAATTAGTTTTACAGTAGTTTCAACTGTAACTGCAAGGGAAATTTCTCTCTCCAACCCCAATTCATTGTCCAAGTCACCAGTATTTTTAGTGGCCTATGTCTTTAATCCCAGCACTTCTCAGAGGCAGGTGATAGCTGGAGGGCCACAAAGCCCTGCTTGTTTTCAGGGGATGTGGGAGTAGCCAGGTCCTATGGGCACTGCTAGGGCGTGCACTCCCCAAGCTGTGCCTAGCTGCCCTGCAAGGTCAAGGTCTGCAGTGTGAGTATGAACCTGAGTGGGTCGCTGTTCTGTAACTGTCCAGCAACCCTGCAAATTCTTGTTTCTCACATGGGATGAAGACTAAGGTAACTCCAAGATTCTCTGAGGCTCATTTTTGTCCTCTCTTCCAAAGTATACATAATGCAAAAAGTTATTATGAAAGAAAATACCATGTTTATCAACTCCCCGAGCAAGGGGAGTTGATAAGGCCATCTACATTGAGCAAGGGAAAAAAGTAAAATAGATGATTTTAACTAAGTAACTAAAAATTGTCCTTCATATTTGATTTACTCTCAGCCTGGCAGGGGTGCACATGTGAGCCCACCTAAGCAAGCAGGGTTAGGAGCATCAGGAATCCAAGGTCAAACACAAAGCAAGGGAAGGCCAGTCTGGGCTGATACCTTACCTCAAAATAATTAACTAGTTAATTAATTAAAATTTACTCTTTAAAATAAGCGATTTGAACATATGATCCAGGTAGCCTACAGAAAGAATAGTAAACTTCATGTTGACCTACCAAATAAGGAATTGTAATTTTAAAAAGTGTTTGTTTTGTTTTAGATACAATCTTATCATGTAACCCTGACTGGTCTGGCACTTGCCATGAAGATCAAGCTAGCTTTGAACTCATACACATTCACCTACTTCTGCCTTCGGAGCATTGGGTCTAAAGAGGTGTGCCACCATCCCTAGCTTAAAAAAGAAGTCTAATGGAAGAAATCAAGAAAAAGTATTTTGTATATTTTTCATTCAAACTTGTTTTCTTGTAGAAACATTGTCCTTGGATCTCTTTACACTTCCCAAATAGTTCTTCTGTTTATATACAAATACACGTACATGCTCCACTTGTGAAAGAAAACTGTAATAGTTATCTTTCTGTCCCCTATCACCCTCTCTCGTTCTTTCCCATTTGCCCTTGGAGGACTTCTTCTCGAAGCATGGACCTCCTCTACTTCCATGGTGTCCAGGCTCATTCTATGTCAAAGCAAACTACAGTCAACTGAGAGGAGAGAACCTCAATTAAGAAAATGCCTCCATAAGATCAGTATGTAGTAAAGCCTACAAGGCATTTGCTTAACTAGTGACTTAATTAGTGATTAGTGGAGGGCCCAGATGGGGGAGGCCCAGCCCAGATCCAAGAGGGACCAGCCCAGATTGGAGGGGAGGGCCCAGCCCATTGTGGGTGGTGCCATTCCTGGGCTGGCAATCCTGGGTTCTATTAGAAAGCAGGCTGACATCCTAAGTGAGGTAACCCAGACCAAAAAGACTAATATAGAATGTAGTCATTCATATGTGGATGTTAGACATAAAATAAAGGACAAATGGCTTCCCAGCCACAACCCCAGAGAACCTAGGTAACAAAGAGGACCCTAAGAAGAACATACATGGATCCCCATAAGAAGGGGAAAAAGACAAGTTCTCCTGAGTAAATTGGGAGCACAGGGGGCAATGGGGAGGGTGGAATGGGAGAAGGGAGGGGGAAAGGGGAGTGGAGAAAATGTATAGCTCAAGAAAGAAAAGAAAAGAAAGCAGGCTGAGCAAGCCATGAGGAGCAAGCCAGTAAACAGTAATCCTCCATAGCCTCAGCTCCTGCCTCCCAAGTTCCTGCCCTGCTTGAATTCCTGTCTTGACTTCCTGTGGCAGTAAACTGTGATATAGAGGTATAAGCCAAAGAATCCCTTTCCTCCCCAACTTGCTTTTTGGTCATGGCGTTTTGCTACAGTAGAAACCCTACCTAAGATACATACCATGTATGGTTTTTTTGGTTTTTTTTTTTTTTTTTTTTTTTTTTTTTTGGTCTAGATTTTTGCATATGAGAAAGGTATGCTCCTTTTCTTTCTGAGCCTGTCTTATTTTGCTGAACATGATGGTCTCCAGCCCCAGCTATGTCTCTGCAGATAATGTGATTGCAATCTTCATTACAGCCCCATGGAACTCCACTGTGTCTGCTCCATATTTCCTTTATCCAGTCATCTGTTGAGGGGCATCTAAACTCCATTGTCAATGGAGTACAGTAAATATGAGTGGGCAAGCATCTCTGTGGAATGATGCTTCGATTCCTTCAGGAGTGGCATTGCTGGCTCATACCGTAGTTCCATTTTTAGCTGTTGGGATAGCCACCACACTGTAAACAGATGCACTGGTTTACTGGTTTACATTCCCACCAGTAGTGCATGAGCCCAAGGCCCTCGCCAGCCTTTGCAGCCAGGTGTTCCCTTCCAGATAACCACTTGAACAGAGTGGGGGGGACTCAATGTAGTTTTGGTTTGCATTTTCCTGTAGCTAAGGACTTTGAATATTTTTTCATATATATTTTGGTTGTTTTTACTTCAATTATTTTGCCTATTGATGATAGGGTGTTTGGAGTTTGGGATGTTTATTTTTTATTTTTTAGAGTTCTTTATGTGTTTTTAGGTATTAATGCCCTGTCAGATAATACTGCTGGAAAGATTTTTCTCCTGTTCTCGGGCTGGTATTCTGCTACTTCCTTTGCAGAACAGAAGTTTTCTACTTCCAGGCCACCCCATTTGTCAACTCTTTCTGTCCTTTCCTGAGCTTTTAGAGTCTTTCTCAAAAAGCCCTTGCCTATATTCATAACTTGAAAGGTCCCTGCCTGTTGTCGTCTAGCAGTTTAGTGTTTGGGGTCTTACAGTAAGGTCTTTAATCCACTTTGAGTTGATGTTTTAAAATAATTTAACTTTATTTTATGTACGCTGGTGTGGATGTCAGATCCCCAGGAACTGGAGTTACAGACAGTTGTGAGCTACCACGTGGGTGCTGGGAATTAAATCTGGGTCCTCTGGAAGAACAGTCAATGCTCTTAACTACTGAGTCATCTCTCCTGCCCCTTGAGTGATTTTAAGCAGAGTAAGAAGCACTGCTATAATTTTACCCTTCTGCATGTGGGAATGTCATTTTCCTGGCACAATCTGTTAGTCTATCTTCTCTCCAGCATGTGTTTTTAATACGTCTTGACTGCACAGATTTACTTATGGGTCTTCTCTTCTACTCCATTGTTCTGTATGTCTGCTTTGTGACAATGTCATGCTGGGCTGTTTGATTAACTTTTGTTTAATGATGATATGATTCTCTAGTATAATTTGAAATCCTATACCCAGAGCATTACTCATTCTGCTTAAGAATGCCTTGGCTAGACCTGGAATCCAGATGCAGAGGGGGAGGACAAGACTAGGCTACAAAAACCCACATAGACAGCTGACTTGAACAAGGAGAAGCTAATGGGCCCCAGACTGATAGCTGGAAACCCAGCTTGGACCGATTCAGACTCCCTGAACATGAGTCTCAGCTAGAAGGCCTGGGCAGTCTAAGGGACCTCAGACAATGGAACCAGGATGTATCCCTGGTGCACAAAAGGACTTTGGGAGCACATTTCCCATGAAGGGATACTGCCTTAACTTAGAGATAGGAGGGAGGGCCTAGACCCTACTCCAAATGACTTGACAGATTTTGTTGACCCCTCCTGGGAGGCTAACCCTAACCCTCCCTGTGGAGTGGGGCGAGGGGAATGGGATGGGAGGGCGGGCGGGGGGGGGGCATTGGAGTGAGGGAACTGGGATCGATATGTAAAATAATAAACAAATAAATAATGGGGAGAAAAAAGAATGCCTTGGCTATTCAAATCCTTTGTGCTTCCATATGAATCTTACGACTATTTTTTTCATTCAAGTTATAAGATGAATCTCATTTTGATAAAGATTACATTGAATCTGCAAGTTGCTTTTGGTAATTAGCCACTGGGCTATCTTGTTTTTTGTCAACTTGGCCCGACTTGAGCCTTTTGGGAAGACAGACTTTCACCAGGTGTGGTGGGTCCAAGCCTGGAGCCCTAGCTCATAGGAACTGGAGTCAGGAGGATTAGATCTTCGAGATCATTCCTAGTTACATAGGGATTGGGAAATGAGCCTGAGCCACATGAGACTCTGCCTCAAACACACACACACACACACACACACACACACACACACACACACCAGAAGGATAGGAATGTGTCTTGGAGGCACACGAAAGGCCATAGATTCAAACACCACCCCCCAGCTGGGCAGTGGTGATGCACACCTTTAATCCCAGCACTTGGGAGACAGACATAGGCAGATCTCTCAGAGTTCGAGGCCAGCCTGGTCTACATAGTAAGTTACAGGCGTACCAGAACTACACAGTGAAACCCTGCCTCAAACAAACAA